TGTGTGTGTGTGGTATATTGTGTGTGTGTGGTATATTGTGTGTGTGTGTGGTATACTGTATGTGTGTGTGTGTGTGGTCACAGACAGGCAAAAGTGTAAGAACAGCAGGAGTTGGTATCAACACCAGGAATTTTCCCTTGTACTGTCTCGCTGTGGCCTCACCACAGTTTCTGGGTCAGGACAGGAAGATGGAAGGTGTATTTGAGACCGAAGAGCATCTCCCAGAGTGACATACTGACTGGTGGGTTCTCCTGGGATGCGGGAGTTGGAAGGCAAAAGGACTCGGAAGTCTCCTCCTCCTGGTATCCTCCCTGATCTCAGGCAGCCCCTCACCAAACCGAAGAATCCTTATTGTCACTGCTCACGGCTTGCCCTTCCCTGCAAGGAGAAGGAGCTCCAAAGGAGCCAGATTTTCTCCAGAGAAGCAGTAGATACAAGTAAAGTTGAATGATGAAGAGGGAGACACAGAGGGGTCTTTTGGGGGGAAACAAAACATTTCGGGGACAGGGATTCTCCAGGTCCTTTTTAAAAATTATTTTAATCCCAGTATAGTTAGCAGTGTTATATTAGTTTCTGGTGTACAATATAGTGATTCAGTAATTCCATACAGCACCCAGTGCTCATCATCTCTAGGGACTTTGATGGCAAAACGTAGGACCCTCGGAGCCAGAAAAGGAAGCTCTGAACTTGCATCTTGCATAAACAGATTTCTCAGGCATCATATTAGCTTCAAATATAGTAGGTAGGGTATAAAGGAGGGTAGTTCTGTTAGCTCCCGAAGTTCACTACCACCTCTTCTGAGCAGGGGGGATCTGAGCAGTAATAAAATGGGAGAGCAGAAGAAATAAGAAATCAGGACAGTAGGATCCCCTAATTCAGACCAAGCAGGATGAAACTCAGCTGCTTCTTCTAAAATGATCAAGTTACTGTTCCAACGTTAATGGCAGCATAAAAAGAAGGGAAAAGGAAAAGAACTTCTTAAGGCAGAAGACTGGAGCTGACAGATTAATAGCAGGGATTGGGAGAAGCCTTCCATTTATAGAAATGAAAACAGACATTTAGGAAAATATCCTCCATTAGGGGGGCTCCAGGGATGAGAGTGTGGCCGGGAAAAGCCCTGGATAATTCTTCCTCCAATGCATCCCCATGCCCTGGCCGCATTTTGAGAGCTTAGAAATGCACAAACATCAGGCAAAGCGTTTCCGTCCCCTTAGCAGAGACCCTGCACAGCCCGTCCGACTTGCAGGGTTTCCTTCGTCTTTTCACTCTCCTGCTAAAGTGTCAAAGCCTTCGCGGCCTTGGCTTCTAGTATTTGTGACTGCAGGCATTTCCACTTGCGGCCAAGACTCACTCACTTCTCCAAGTCTGACAACCTGAGTCGCTCTGAGCCAAGCATCTGGTCCTTCGAAGACTCCCATTCTGTGGGCCTTCTCTGGGTCTACTTCCCTGAGTAATCAGGCAGCTTCCTCTTGCCCCCCACAAATGGGGTCTCCCTCCAATATACTGCATCCTCTCATCCACTCGATGAGAATGACTCCCAGTTGTGTGTTTCTAATTGAACTTTTGTCCTGAACTCAGTCTGGGAGCGCCTTCCTCCCTCAGTCTTCCTCAAAAGTATCTAGCACCACTATTCACCATCTCACGCCTCCTATTCAATCCAACTGCAAAGCCCTACTTGTCCTCTCAAATATATTGTTGACCTGCACACATCTGTCTTTCCATCTCCATGGCCACAAAGTCCAAAGTCACCCTCATACCACCAGAGCCCTCCTACAACCTGTTCTCCATAGAAGCCTTCTACAAATCCATTCACGGACAGATGCCGAGTCCGTTCTTCACCTTGTTTACTGCTGTATCCCCATCACCCTCAACAGTGCCCAGAACATCAGAAGGTGCTCCACAAATAATTAAGAAGTAACTGCTGGATGTCTATATATCTAGATTTCTCACCCATGCCTAAATCATAATAGGTCCAAAGCCAACACATTTTCTCCCTGTTTCAACTCTTAAATATTTCCATTTTCTAGCCACCTAGAGATGAAACCTCGGGAGTCTTTGACTCCTGACACATGCATTCAATGTTATTAAATCACAAAAGATTTTACTTCCACAATTTTTTTCTCACATCCGTATCCCTTTTAATTATCACTGCCTCCACTTACCAACCAACCATAACAGTGTCCTAACTGAGCCTTCTGTGTGTATTCTACAGCACCAGTTTCTAAACTGCACCTGATTAAAAAAAACCTTTTTTTTAAATGTAGAACACCTTACCCTGGCATTCAAGGCTCTTCAAACCTCATCTTCCATCTAAGTTCTAATCAAATAGGACTATTCATTGTTCATCTGGACAAGTTTGAGCCTTCCCCTCCCCCCATGGCTCTTCATTCCCAATTATAAGTGTCAGGCACATAACAGCTCAATAAACTTTGTGAAAAACCTTCTTGTTGAATTCCTGTTCATCTTAAATGGTTCATCTTAAACGCCACTTTCTTCATGAAGATTTCCTTAGCTGCTTCATCCAGAGGTCTTTCTCCCCCCCTCTTCTTCCTAGTCCTTATGGCACTTCAACCTTCCATTGCCATGTATCATGTCATTCGTAAATCTCTCAGTTCTCTGCTGGGCTGAAAGCGGGAACAATGGCTCTTCCTTTGCCTTTGTATCTGCTGTTGTATGGAACAGGATGCCCTGCGCGTGGCAGATAGCCAATCAATGTTTGTCGACTTAAACTTCTGTAATTCGACTCTGGGATTCCACTTTCTCCTTCTCTACAGATTCTTTCCTTGTTAAAGAAAAAAGAATTATTTCCCCATTATCATATTTATCAGATCCCAATTATTTTTTTTTATTTATTTATTCATGAGAGACAGAGAGAGAGAGAGAGAGGCAGAGGGAGAAGCAGGCTCCCAAGGAGCAGGGAGCCCGATGCGGGACTCGATCCCAGGACCCTGGGATCATGACCTGAGCCGAAGGCAGACGCTCAACCATCTGAGCCACCCAGGCGCCCAGATCCCAATTATTTAATGCTGATGGCTGAGTGAATGAGATCCAGAACAAATGTCTCTCCCCAAACTGCCAAAAGAAATGTCAAACTAGTTCTTGCTTTTATAGCCTTCAATCAAGGAGCAAAAACATATGGTCGGGGGTTATAAAAGTAAGAAAGGTTTACAAAAATAACAAAATATCTGACCTAACGCAAATGCTGAGCTTTGACAGAGAGGAGCAGGTACTCTTTGGAGTAAGTCATTAGGCCACAGTACCTGAGACCCCTGTGTAAAAACAAAGTACATCCAGAACCACCTTTATTCTCAGGGGTGTGGGCAGAGGAAGGAATACAACCACCCAGAGTGCCTACTATTATGCATTATTATTGTTGTTGTTATATTAGGTTCAGATTCAGGAGATCAGTCTCCTGAGGTATTTGTAAAATGAAACAGCAGATCATGTTACTGGGGTAGGGGGACAGTGCTAAGATGTGTCCCAAGGGCTTTGCTAGGCTCTATCTGAGTAAGGCTGAGGGAGAAGAGTCCTGTGAGTTTTACCATGGATTTGGCGGGGGGGGGGGGGGACGACTGGCGCAATCAACTCTGACATCTGAGGGAGCAGGAGGCATTTCCAAAGGAGCCACTGGAAACAGAACTTTAGGCAAGGGGCCTCCCAGCTTCTCTATCTCCTGCCCTCAAAAGACTGCCCCACTCGCTACCCGGGAGAACCAGCTAGGTGTTCCTTCCCAT